GAGAGAGAGAGAGAAAGAGAGAAATCGCTACCTCGGTTTCTACCTCCGCAAAGTCCCTTTAGCATTCCACGCGAACGCGCTGGTAATCCTCGATATTTTAATCAAGTAGGCAAAGCAATCTTGCCGGTCTCATTCCGCTAAATCGTCTCGTAAAGCGCATTCGAAAGGTGACCCCCCCCCCCGAATGGGTGACCCCCTCCGTTTCACCCCTTGAAGATGCCTCCTTGTGATACTCGCTGGTATTTGCAACCGTGGAAGAATTTTAATTCTCGGAAAATTAGCTTCCCCTCAGTCAGATGATGAATCCCATCCGCGTCTTTACAATTTATTCGTCAAGATCGTCTATTATCATTTTACCAGGAGAAAATGAGATATGGATGGTTCGGCAAGGAAATGTAAAATCAGTATTGTACAATAGAAAGAAATTGCGTTTTGTTTTTTTTTTTTTTTTTTTTTAAATTTAAGAAGTATTATTACCGAGAGGAAAAATATGACTGAATAGATGCGTAAAATCGAATAGACTTAGATGTTATGCATTGCGCCACTGAGACTTTTAAATCGAGTTTCTCACAATGCCTGACATGTTCTAGTGCTCGAGTAATTAATCTCCTGCTAAGAAGAGTTATAATGCGACTTTCAGCGTCGAATTCCTTTCTCATTATTTGCCCGAAGTCATTGATAATGCTGTGCTCGATACTTTGTTATTATTTTCGATGTGACGTAAAACTGCGCAAGGTCATAAGGAAAATATTAAAAAGTATCAGCAACTACTGAAAGAAGAAAAAGAGGATAGAAACTGTTATAAAAGAATAAATATGTCTTTTTGTTCTTATAACTTTGTTATATTTGAATGTTAAACGATACTAAATTACGAATTACAACTTCAATAAAATTATATTCTCGAAAAAAATTATTGATATTATTCTACAATTATTCTTAATTTCTGTTTTACATACAAAAAATTAATATCCTTCTTCATTAACATCTTCACAAAACATCTATCTTTTAATTTGCTTTTTTTATTCATTTCTGTTATAAAGTATCACAGCAAAGATTATTTTTCGCGACTCTAATATTCTTTATACGCAAACTATGTATCGAATGGCGAGAACAATGTTTGACAATATCATTTTCACGCATTAGCTTAAGTGAGTGGAAAATTCATAGACGGCCGCGTTATTGCTGATAAATCGATAAATCGATCTTGGAGAAATCGTCAATGCACGTCGCGCAATCGCCCAAACTACCACATCGGATGCTTGACGGATACACGATAATTCCGCTAAGTCAAGGTTTGCTACTCTGCTCTATCGAGCACGTTCGAGAACGGATATTGTATCGGGTTTCCATTTGCCGCAGCATTCAGCGTCG